GGACCACGGCCGCCTGCCTCGAAAGCTCAAGGACCTGAGTTGGATCCCTGGTACCAAAATAAATAACTAAATAAATAAATAAGAAGAGGACCACTCCGTGAGGCTGAAGGGGCTGTTAGGAGGTGGGGCCCAATTGGAGTAGGTAGGTCACGGAAAGCGTGCCTTTGAAGGGTCTGTCTAGTCCCTTACCCCTTCCTCTCTGACTCCTCACACTCTGCTTGCTGGCTGTTAGGGAATTGATCATGTTAAAGTACGCTGTGACGCCGCCTCACAGGCTGCATTCTCCTGGTACATCTTGGCTCCTAAAATGACCTCGTGCCCTTATCTCTGGTTTCCCTCCCCCCCAAGGCCACAGTGATCCAGGAAAGTTGAAACCTGTGTCTGCAGGACTGGGCCCATACAAGCAATCTGGCATGGGATAGGTTAAAAGTAACTCACTCCTCATAAATAAGCAGTAGCCCACCCTAAAACTGATAAAAGGACCTTCCTTTCTTTATTCTTCTCTCCTTCTGTTTCTTCTTCCTCCTCCCTCTCTCTCTCTCTCTCTCTACTCTCTCTCTCTCTCTCTCTCTCTCTGCCTTCCTGCCTCCTGCTTGCCTCCCTACAGTAAAGATCTCCTGCCGGACCTCTCCGTGCGTGAGTGGCATAATTGGGTAAGGGGCACCCAAAGGGGGCGCGAGACCCCTTTCACGGCTGCCATGGGATGAGCAACTTTTCTCCACCACATCTTTCTGCCATGATGTTTCTGCCTCACTACAGGCCTAAAAGTAATTGAACCAGCTGACCACGGCCTGAACCCTCTGTAACCATGAGCAGAAATAAAACTATTCCTTTAAGTTGTTTTTCTCAGGTATTTTGTCCCATAGTGATGGAAAGGTAGCACAGAAATATGCCACAGAAGAATCAAGAGCCCAGAGAGTGGAAGTGAGGGTCGTGGAGAGTTATTCCTACACCTGGAGAATGGGCTGCAGCATTCCTTTGGACTAATGAGTTATTTGTACCTCTCACTTTTCCCATTTTTTTTTTTCTGGTATTAGGGATCGAACTCAGGAATTTGTGCTTTCAAGGCAGGCATGGCGCCACTGAGCTAAATCCCTAGCCCTTCCCCGATTTTAAAAGCAAAAACATCTGTAATGGTTACAGATGTAATATTACAGGTGTAAGGTAATAGTGCACCTGCCCACGATTGTACATTGGATGCATGGGGCAGATAAGTTGTCTCTAGTTTCAGAGGAATTGCACTCCAGGAGCTGAATTTAGGGGACTATGCTCAGGGAGCCTCATCTATATCTGATGAGACCTAATTTGGAAGACAAAATTCTGTGCTTGAGGTTGACACTACAAGTATAAGGATATTAGTGAATAAAACTATGTGAATTTAAAAAAATAACATTTGGGAACCTTGGAAGGGAGCGAGTGTGGTTTGTGCGTTGGAAGGACGTGAAGCTTTGGTAGGCAGGCAGGGAGGCTGCGGGTGCTGGCCGGCCTTCGAGATGACCCCAGGGGTCTCCACCCCCTGTATTTACACGCCTGGCTTTCCCCTCCTGCTGAGTATGTAATCTGCTCATACTAAACGGGGAAGGAAGGAGCAAAGGTTTGTGACTTGGAGGTTAGCTCATAGAAGGTAGCATGCATTCTTTTCTATCCAAGGACTTGTTCCAGGGAAACCCAGCTCTTTCTCTGCTGAGCAGCTTTACAGAGAATCCACATAGCCAGGAACTGAGGCCTTTGTCCAAGAGCCAGGGAAACAGCTTCTCTCCAACAACTTCATGAGATAGGCATTTGGGAGATTCAGGCCCTGTCCAAGCACAGGCATGACTGCAGTCCCAGCACCCAGGCTCATCCTGGCCTCATCCAGAGCTTGGGGGGCTGGGGATTTAGCTCACTGGTGCCACTGCCTGCCAGGCAAGCTCAACGACGGGAGGTAGACCCCCTGCACTGAACAGACACAAAAAACTCAGAGCTTGGGCCGAAGAACAGTTATGCCGAGCAGCAGCAGGTGGCGCTGGCGACCCCGAAGTGTCTGGGTCTCAGGTGGTGGCTGACCGGCTGGAACACGTTGAAAATCCTGTGGTCTACAGATTCAACTGGGAAATGACCACTACCTGTTTCCCAAGGAGGACAGGGGAGAAACACTTACCAGGTTAGATAATTTGTTTAGAAACATTCCGTCTGCAGCCCATGTCTATCAGCAGACACATAAATAAGCAAAAAGTTCTATGCACACAGAGGAATATTATTCAGCCAGAAAAAGGAAGGGAATTTTGACACCTGCTACAATACAGATAAGCCCAAGGACAATATGCTGGATGAAATAAACCAGTCACAAAACGGCAAATTCCATGTGCCTCCGCTCATAGGAGATTCCCAGAGAGACAAATTCACAGAGACAAAAAGTGAAACGGGCCCAGGGATTGAGCTCAGTGGCACTGCTCCTGCCTCAAAAGTGCAAGGTCCTGAGTTTGATCCCCAGTACCTCCCCCGAAAAATGTGAAATAAGGATCACCAAGGGCTGGAGCGGAGTGGGTGTTAGAGTTTTGTTTGACAAGACAGAGTTCTAGAGATGAGTGCATAAAAATCAGCTGTTAAACTACTATCTTGGAAGCAATTAAGGTGGTAAATATAAAGTTATGCATTTTTACCATGACAGAAAAAATTCTCACTGACATGGTGACGCACGCCTGTAATCCCAGCACTTGAGAAGGCTGAGGCAGAAGGATCACTGTGAGTTCGAGGCTGGCCTGGGCTACATAGCAAGACCCTGCCTCAAAAAACCAAACAAAATTCCCTTTTACCATCATAATCTGCTGCGGTGTGGATGTGGTCTCTCCCACAAGGGTTTTGCTGGAGGCCTTGTGCCTCGAGGTGGTGTTGAGAGGGGAACCTTTAAGCAGTATAGTGTAAACCGGGAATGGTGGCACATGCTTGTAATCTGTGCTATTCAGGAGGCTAAGGCAGGAGGATTCTCAAAAAACCAAACAAAATTCCCTTTTACCATCATAATCTGCTGCGGTGTGGATGTGGTCTCTCCCACAAGGGTTTTGCTGGAGGCCTTGTGCCTCGAGGTGGTGTTGAGAGGGGAACCTTTAAGCAGTATAGTGTAAACCGGGAATGGTGGCACATGCTTGTAATCTGTGCTATTCAGGAGGCTAAGGCAGGAGGATTGAAAGCTCAAGGCCAGACTCTGGAAGGCTAAGGCAGGAGGATTGAAAGCTCAAGGCCAGACTGGACAACTTAGTGACACTCTGTGTTAAAAGTAGAAAACTAAAGGGGTGGGTGGGTGGGGCATGCAGCCGAGCACACCCTGGTTCAATCCCTAGTTACCCTAAACCAAGAGGCTTGACCTCATGGACAGTACCGAATGGCCTGCGGGCTGTTTAGACTTGGCCTCTGCTCCGTAAGCCGGGTGTCAGGTGTCCCTGGGAAGTGGTGGGACTTCATCCCTTAGGGCTGGGGCATCTGCATCCCGCTCAGGATGCCCCCGGGGTGTGGCCAGGGAGTCCCCAGGGCCTCTCAGAGTCTGAGCTACAGAGCCCCGGACCTTTCCTTCAGCCTGCTGCACACTGCGGAGCTCTGGCGGGTCCCCACATTGGTGTCACCGCCCAGAGTCAGGGTCCCAGGGCTGGGCGCCACACCCCAGCCCTGAATGCAGCCAGGCACCACGCAGACTGGGCTCATGCAAGCCTCCATCCTGGGCTCGGCCTCTTGAGAGCTCAGCAGTGGGGCGTTTGTCCTCTGCGGGATGGTGACTGATCTGTTAAGCAGCAAGCAAAAAAAAAATCAAGGTTAAAAAAAAAAAAAGGCTCCTTTCGTAGGGTGCCGTTGGCTTTCCACCCCGGCTCATCTCTTTACCTGTCGTCCTCTGTTGACATGTGTGCGACTGCTGCCATCTGGCGCACGTGACTCCCCTCCTGCAAAGCCCTGCGCCCCTCTGTGAAAAGGACGCAAGCCCGACCCGGGCTGCTCAGGACCGCGGGTCCACCTCCTCTCTGGGGGATACAAGAGGCTCTGGGTGCTGGGAATTCAGAATGCCAAGAGCCCCACACCAGATCCGGTTACCGATCTCGCGTGTGCGGCCTCCCCAGTGGCGCAGAGCTGGCTCGCGGGCGTGGCCCTGCTCCTCCCCATGCTGCATTCCCTCCTCCTCGCCAAATGCTCTGCTTATGTTTTTTGTGGGTGGCACAGGTAGCATCACGTCACTCAAACGTGTTGCTTGAGAAGCCACAGCGTGGCTGGAGGACGGACGTGTGGACGACGGACTGTGTGGCTCTCTGCGAGGCCGGGTGGCGGCAGGTCCCTGAGCCTCCCTTGGGCCCAGTGCGGCAGCTGTTACTGTGCTGGTGACTTCCTGGGGTGGGCACGGGGCAGTCACTCCCCAAACGGCCCATGAATGGGTCCTTCCTCCCTGCTGGCCCTGTGTCTTTCATCTCTATGCCCAGCTGGGCAGGCAGTGAGGATCAAAACGACAAATTCAATGAGTGAATGTTACAGGGGCCATGATGGTAATTGAAATAAATCACACACACACACACACACACACACACACACACACACACGCACACACACTTAATACTCCTGTGGTTTCTCTTATATGAGAAAACCAACACAGCAATAAAGAGCAAAATAAAAGGCAGATACTAGGAAGCAGGGAGATGGATCTTTTGCAATGGGAAGGGGGCCGAGAGGTGGCGGAGGAAGGAGAATGGAGGTGTGCTCAGCCCACGCACTGCCTCCCCGCGATGAACGTGCTCACTGTGTACTGTGAATGCATTAACAGAAACAAAAATTAAAGGAGAAAAACCCAAACAGAAAGCTAGTCTCGGTGACTGAGAACCAAGGTGCAAGGAACCAGAAGGCGGAAGGAAAGCAGGCAGGCCCGGGTGGCACAGAGAAGGGCCCACTGGGGACTGACAGAGGTGTGTGGGGGCTGCAGACAGGAGGATCCCGCGTGGGACAGAGGGAAGGGCACACACAGACCCTGAGGTTTCAAGGAAATGACCAGACTCTCTAAGGCCGGTACCATCTCACAAGCCTTTATTCATCAAAGTGGCACCAGCAGCAGGCTCAGTGGCAGTGGGGAGTCACAGTGGGCTCTCTGGAAGCCAGGAACCTGCTCCCAGCCCCTGCAAGCACCCCGGTAGGAATCTGCAGCCCAGGACTTCACATGGGCGCTGCCTTCACAAAGAAGCTGTGACAGATGGAAGCAAGCGTGGCCACAAACACCACGAACTCGTTGAAATCCACCTCGGTGTCTCCATTGGCGTCCAGGTCCTTGATCAGTTTGTCCACAGTGTCGTTGTCCTTTCCGCTCTAGAGAGAGAGGCCCAGAGTCAGTGACATGCATGTCCTGGGGGCTCGGCCTCAGCCGGGCCGGGTACCTGCAGGCTGAGCAGGCTTTAGAGGCCCTAAACTGCCCTCCTCTCCCTGCCTGAATTAAACCTCTAGTTGCTTGGGCCACATGTGAATCCTATTATGCTGTGTGGGCGGGATTTCGTGTTGAAGGGGACTGCTTTTGGATTTGTACCGTGACTGTCCTCAGAAACTGTGCAACTTCTTGTGTCCTGAGCCTCCCTGTGCCCTGCTGGGTTACTATGTCCCGGCTGCTTGCACCGAGCACACCTCTCCAGGCACCTGTGTTCCTCACAGCCCCGGCGAGGAAGGTGCGTCCCGTGTCATCAGGAGGACGATTAGGGCCACAGAGCCCAGGGGACCCGCCGAGGTCACACAGGGAGGAGCTGAGCCCCAGGGAGAAGGGAGCACAGAAGTCCTGCTTTCCCTCTCTGCTCCGGCACCGGCACCGGGCTGGAACCCCAAGGTTCCAGGCCTTCTTTGAGAGGGTCGGGCTGGCTGGGTCTGGAAGCCTGGACCTGGACCTGGACCCCAC